ACAAATTGAAATTTTAAAGAGTAAACTTTGTCTAGACTGTGCAGCTTGTTCACATTGACATCATCACTTGACGTAATCAAATGCTAAGCTCCATAGCACAAGTTCACGTACTGCAGCTACAAACACTGGAGAACTTTAAATGATGTAAAGATTAAATTTTTCTCCAGCAATAATTGTGTTTTAAATTTTTACTGAATTTAGTGTGATTCCAAGTTCAAATTTGTGCATTTTTCCCATTTTTGTCTCCAACATTTTAGCAACAGTTGCAATGCAGTAAGTTACTGACTCCTCTAAAATAAACCAAATGATTAGATCTACAAATGTAATTATTTCAACATTTTCATCACTAATATTTTCAACCGTGACTTCAGCTTCCATGTAATTAGCCTTGTCACATTTAAAATTAGGCATCATTGTTGCTGTTGTTTTTTACCCAGACAATACATGCACTGTTCTCTCTGCAGGCCATTTGCAATGCACAAGCTTGTACTCTGATAGCTGCTGCTGCTTTGATGTTAGATGAAAGTGGCGGTCAGGAGCAGGTCTCTGAGATCGTCCTTCATCTCATCTGATGGATGTTTTTATAAACTCCTGATCTCCTCTGTGTTTTGAGTGTTTAGTTGTTGAATATGAATAGGTTTTTTTTTTGTACTTGAAAACAAGACTGTACAAAGAGCCGACGGTAAGAGCGAACTTATTTGTTTAAGTGAATGATTTAGCAATTTAATAGTCGTGTTCATAAACAAAAACACCAAATGAGATCAAATAAGTGCTGGTGCTGCTTTTGAGTTTGTTTTAGGATACACCTTCACCTCAACAGAACACAAGCTTTAAAATATAAGAAATATAAAAATAACTTCCTATTAAAATCCTCTAAATCATCAGCCAGTCATTAAACACTCATGCAACATCGAGAACATGTTTATGTTTATGTTTATTTATTCGGAAGACGCTTTTATCCAAAGCGACTTACAATTTATAACCTATAGGGCATGTTGTGATCTGTGGGGGAAACCGGAGTACCCGGAGGAAACCCACGCATGCATGGGGAGAACACGCATCTCCACGCAGAAAGTCCGCAGCCGAGTTTCGAACCTGCAACCTTCGTGCTGCGAGGCAACAGTGCTAACAACTGAGCCACTATGCAGCCCATGAGGAGTGAGGCTTACAAACATGTAACAAATGGCTGATCGCACCAATAGGTTTAATTTGTTCTTTTTCCATCTCTTCCAGGAGTTTAATTCTTTGTTCTGTATAGTTCTTGTTGTGCATTTTATGTTGTCAGGCTGCAAAACAAACTCAGGACAAGTCAAATACTTGAAATGGCACGGTGCAAAACAAACTTGGTGTCTTAAAACGTGTGCACATTATTGTAGATTTATTCAAATTGAGGAGTGAGGCTTTCAAACGACCTGTAAGTCTGAAAGGTACATTGGCTACTTTGGGTGATGAAAAGAACACATTTGCATCCTTGTTTTTCCACTGATTCAAGCTTACATTTTCTGAAACTTGCAGTAGGGCTGCTCTTGAGAGGTGAGACTTGAGGCATTTAGTTAAAATTCTTGATGTAACTAATGATCTAAGTTGTGTCTTACAGTGTCTTCACACCAGATTATTCCACGGGACTTGGGTCGATTGAGCAGGGAAGGCCCCAAAACAATTTCCACCATCTATTTGGTTTAGTTAACTTTTACTGTGTCTGAAAGGCCATGAAGGTTATTTTACCTCTTTAATAATGAATCAAAAAAGGTAATTCAAAGAAAAAAAAACAAAGTTCTAAACAAATTTTGAAAACATGTCAACAAAAAACAAAACAAAACCAAACTTACCATAGAAAGCTCCCCCCCAATAAACACTGACTTACTGACCCTTCAATAATTTATATGTTGTTTGAAACTGAAACTCCTGATTTAGTCGATTGCTTTCCTTCCGGGTTCTTGTGGGTAAAGAAAAACCTCTCTTCGTTGGTGTGAAGGTTCTCCATCTGTTCACGGCCCAAAGAAAAGCCCAATCGTCCAAAGATGATACCAAAGCCGTTTCGAAGAACACCGTTCCTTAGCTGCCGCCGTTGTTGTTTTGCTTCATCGCAGCTCTGCGATTAGCCAGGCCACTGGCTAAATTTGCTACTACTATGAGTTTTCTAGATGTCTAGGCCATATATGTCTTACTTTATATTGGCTCTACTAAAAATACACACCGACAATGCCGATATACACTCACCTAAAGGATTATTAGGAACACTTGTTCAACTTCTCCTTAATGTGATTATCTAATCAACCAATCACATGGCAGTTGCTTCAGTGCATTTAGGGGTGTGGTCCTGGTCAAGACAATCTCCTGAACTCCAAACTGAATGTCAGAATGTGAAAGAAAGGTGATTTAAGCTGTTTTGAGCGTGGAATGGTTGTTGGTGCCAGACGAGTCGGTCGTAGTATTTCACAATCTACTCAGTTACTGGGATTTGCACGCACAACCATTTCTAGGGTTTACAAAGAAGGGTGTGAAAAGGGAAAAACATCCAGTATGTGGCAGTCCTGTGAGCGAAAATGCCTTGCTGATGCTAGAGGTCAGAGGAGAATGGACCGGCTGATTCAAGCTGATGGAAGAGTAACTGACTGAAATAACTCGTTACAACCGAGGAATGCAGCGAAGTATTTGTGAAGCCACAACGCACACAACCTTGAGGTGGATGGGCTACAACAGCAGAACACCCCACCGGGTTCCACTCATCTCCACTACAAATAGGAGAAAGAGGCTACAATTTGCACCAGCTCACCAAAGTTGGACAGTTGAAGACTGGACAAATGTTGCCTCGTATGATGAGTCTGGATTTCTGTTGAGACATTCAAATGGTAGAATCAGAATTTGGCGTAAACAGAATGAGAGCATGGATCCATCATGCCTTGTTACCACTGTGCAGGCTGCTGGTGGTGGTGTAATGGTATGGGGGATGTTTTCTTGGTACACTTTAGGCCCCGTAGTGCCAGTTGGGCATCATTTAAATGCCACGGGTGACCTGAGCATTGTTTCTGACCATGTCCATCCCATCATGACCACCATGTACCCATCCTCTGATGGCTGCTTCCAGCAGGATAAAGCACCGTGTCATAAAGCTCCAATCATTTCAAGTTGGTTTCTTGAGCATGACAATGAGTTCACTGTACTACAACGGCCCCCACAGTCACCAGATCTCAACCCGATAGAGCATCTTTGGGATGTGGTGGAACGGGAGCTTCGTGCCCTGGATGTGCATCCCACAAATCTCCATCAACTGCAAGATGCTATCCTATCAATATGGGCCAACATTTCTAAATAATGCTTTCAGCACCTTGTTGAATCAACGCCACGTAGAATTAAGGCAGTTCTGAAGGCGAAAGGGGGTCAAACACCGTATTAGTGTGGTGTTTCTAATAATTCTTTAGGAGAGTGTAGAAGAAATAGTAAATATCAGCCAGACATCTTTGTTACGTTTCTTGCGTCTTTTCTATCCTATTTCATTTTTTGCGGTTCTTATCATACACTTCATCATCTACAGAGTTTAGATGAGCTGTCACATCTGCCTAAATGTAGCAAAACAAACTCTGGTCTGTTTAAAGTTGACCGAATAGCCCTTTGATCACTTGTTTTGGTTTTAGGAAGTGTTTTTTGGCTCATATTGACAGTATTATCTCAAAGCTTCACCTTTGTGTTTGTCCACATTTAGAATCTTTAGTTTTTTTCCAGAATCAAACAACCCATAAGATAAAGAGTGAGAGAAATCCTGCATGTGGCCAAATAATAACCTTCACAGTTAACTGGTAAATCTCTGCTGCCCCCTAATTATCTGTCAACTGCTTTTAATGCAGAAAGAAGTTGATAAAATCCTTCTATCACACACTCCGAACACACATCTGTTCAGTGCATGAGAAATCAGAAGTGTTTTCAGTGGCACAAATGGAGCTTTATTACATGTAATGCATGAATCTGAAGCCTCTTCTCTTTCAGCAGCAGCGAAGTGTGGCTTCTTCTTTTTTCTACCAGTAATGGAAGACAAGAGTTATAAGTGATACCTAAATAATCCTCCACATTGTCAGGCTTTCACTTTCCCTCTGATGTGTGGTGGGGGCATAATGGAAAAGCGAGAAATGGATCCTTGGAAACTTCATAATTATGAGAGCAGCTCGAGCTGTGTGAAAATACTGAGGACAATCTCTCTGCTGCTCTGTCTGAAGTCAGGATGGACATTTTTACCGGCAGCAATAAATTGTAATCAGCTTGGCTGATTAATTGGAATATACGGCACCAAAAAAGCTCGCATTACATTCTAAACGCATCCAGTTTTGCGGTGGAGTAGCACAAACAGTCATTTACAACCAACTTTTCACAACCTCAACGGCTGTAAAACCAGTCAAACTGTAACTGGTTACCATTAAACAAGTGGCTGTTTCTGTCCCTTTCATTGTGGTTTAATGTGAAGGTGCATGCTGGTTACAATGAATTGCTAATTTAAAACACCCAATTTTACATGGTTTTACTCAAATTAGCTTCATGTTACACGCTGAAAGTTTTACAATGAAATGAAGTGTTTTTTTAAATACTATCTGTATTTTTGTGTTCCTTACTGTCATCAGTTTGCTCATATTTACGACTGCTTTTTAGATACAGTGAGGTGTTTATGTGTTTGTCACAGTGGATTCCCCCACATACTAGTTCCCTACTGGCTCTCTAGCTAATGTGTTGTCTTTCTCTCTGTGTATCTCTGTTATTACTGTATGTTTGTGTTTGTTGTTGGTTTTTTTGCCCAATTTTCTTTTCCTTTTTGCCACATTTGGCTTGGTTTTGTTTTTCCACATGCTTCTGAGCATGTTCTAAAACTGCATCCTGCATCCTTCGTGTTACATTCTGCTTGTTTGCAAATGCTTTTAATGTGTTTATCTTTGTTCCCACTTGTGTCTGTGCATCTTTTTATTGTGTTGGCTCCTGTCTCCTTGTCGCTGTCTCCGTAATGTCCCCTCCTCCAGCCTTTGTGACTTTGCTGAACGGGGACCAGGCTCAGGATGCCATCCGCTCCCTCCACCACAGCACTGTCCGAGGACGCTTGATAAACGTCACCCTGCAGCCCACCGATTCCCTGCTTTGCCTCACCAACCTCCCCCACACCTTCACTGCGCAGCAGTTCGAGGAGCTGGTGCGGCTTTACGGAAACATCGAGCGCTGCTTCCTGGTGTACAGCGAGCTAAGCGGACACTCCAAGGGATATGGGTTTGTGGAATACATGAAGAAGGACTCTGCTTCACGAGCCCGCTCAGAGCTCCTGGGCCGGCCACTGGTACGTTAGAGCAAATGTTATAAATCTGTTCAGTCCCTTGTGAATCTGAATGAAGTCATTACAAAGATTTGGATACACTAAACACGTTGTAAAGGGTGAAAATTATAAACTTCAGTTGCATCTTCTATCACATCAAACTTATTTTAAAGGGAATAAACATTTTCCTCACAGGGATTACTTACCCTGGTTTCACACTGAAAGCATCAGCGGCGCGGAACGCCAGTGCCTCAAATCGAATCCATTATAGTCTATGGAGTGTTTCAAACCATCAGCGACGTGGCAATTTCCAGGTGCGTCTCAGAAGCGGCACGCCGCGCCGCTAAAGATAGGATCGAGTTCTATTTTTGCTGTGAGCCGCTTCTGGAATGCGTCAATTTCCACAGCTAACATAGGGAGCCTAAGTCACTTCCGCATCATGGGAAGAACGAAAAAAATGAATGCAAGTCAACGGGGCTAAAAACGATATTTTCTAATCTGCTTTGCCTTACGTCCTGGATCACACATACAGTATGTTGTACTGCAATTTAAATGAAAAGTAATTATGGGTGTACGCCAGTCACTTACTTTCAGATTTATCAGCTTGTAAAAGTTCGTAATTAGCATGACTACAAACTAGAAATTGGCACGTCGCATATAGGACATCACCACATAATCTCCTCTCCCCAAAGTAGCTGCCACTTCAAACATGGCCAGATTTATTGTGGTTCTTTCCCCCTATGGGGAGTTTGCTGAACTTACAGCTCTTTTCCCTCAGTTTCCTCTGTGTCTGGTTCGATGACGTCACTTTCCTGAAACGCATTTTTAGTCCTGGACTTATTTTCACACAAAACTTAAATTGGCGTTTATCCCCTGTTTGAAAATGAGCACGTTCTTGGTATCAAAATATGTCTTTAAAATTCACGAACATCATGTGTGAAATCCATGGCACAAAACAAGCGGAATTAGAAAATGGCGTTTTTAGCCCCATTAACTTGCATACATTTTTTTGTTCTTCTGGGGACCCATGGTGCGGAAGTGACTTAGGCTCCCTATAGGGCTAGACAGGATATGACATACAGAGTATTTCTCAATATCAAGGCACCTGGCTTACAAGGACACTGTCCTTCCTTGGCCAAGGAAAATAGTTAAATGGAACAGACTTGCATCACGTGACTGTGGCTTCCACGGCGGTCATGTAACGTCACGTGACACGGGAGATGATGTAATATTTTATACATATAAGTTTCAACATAAATATATAATGAGTCTTTTAGTTTTTAAATTGTGTATATATGTTTATTAGATTTAATATGTAAGTGAGTTACTACCCGCCAGCCACCGAAGCTGCAACTACTTAGCAACTAACCAACCATAGCTAAATTCCTCGGATCTAAAAAAACATTTTAAATTAGTTGACTTACTTTTAAACTTGAAATTTGCCCCCGAAGTAGCTGCCGACTTCTGATCCGCCATCCTTTTGAAAATACTGTGGTGTATTCTGGGTAATTTTTGACCAAGGCTAGGCTACAAGACACCTCCCGTGTATCCTTGCTCAGCTAGCTAAACGGCTAACAAACGGAGAACAGATGCCTTGGCAGAACATGAACATTGGAACACACCTTGGCGACTCCTGAAGACGTATCTTCTCGGCAACCGAGGTGGGGCCAAGACATCAAGGTGAAGTTCATTGGCATTGAGGCCTAGTCCACACGTAGCCGGGGTTTTTTGAAAACGAATATCCGCCCCTCCAAAAACTTGCATCCACACCACCGCGTTTTAAAAACAAACTCTGTCCACACGTACCCGGATAAATACGTTGTTAAGGACATGCCAGACCTGTAGGCGGCAGTACTTCCCCCGTTCTTAACCTCGTCCTTCGTCTGTGGTCTTCCGCAAGGAGCAGTAATTCCGCTTGCAAAAACAAACAAGCAGAAAGCGCTTGGACGATTGATGGATCGGGTAGTGACAGAGCGCAGCTCTGAAAGCTTCCGTGATGCCGGCTAGTGTAAACACAGGCCGCACACGTGATGTCAGCATTTTTTTGTCGCGGAAAGTGACGTTGCGGACCTTAAAACTCCGGTTTTGTCCGTCCACACGCAGACACCCAAAACGGAGAAAACGCAGATCTTCACTTTGGCCGGAGTTTTTAAAAGGATCCGTTTTCGTGTGAAAAAACTCAGTTTTCGTGTGGATGACAGGCCAAAACGTAGAAAAATATCTACGTTTTGGCAGATCCCCGGCTACGTGTGGACAGGGCCTGAGAAACACCCACTGCTTCAGTGTAAAATCCCTGGTAATTTTCAAAATAAAACTACTGCATCAATGCAGTTTCACATATATGAAGCTTACGTGTGATCCAATGGCTTATTTACTCACAGCATCATTCCAGAACTGCAGCTGTGTGTTTTTCATGGCTTTGTCATATATGTCATATATGACACCAAACAGCGATATAAAACGTGATTTCCTTCTTTTTGGTTTATTGGCGGATTGCATGAGCAAACCATGACCTGAAGTCTCGAGGGATCTTGTGATCTCACGAGTCCAGCGAAGAGCACAGCGAGGATGCCGTGCCGCTGCCAAGACTCTCCCGCCCGATGTGAAAGAAATCGCTTTGAAGTTCGCGAGTAAACCGTTCCGCTGCCGTTTTGTGCTGCCATTATTTCCAGTGTAAAACCGGGGTAAGGGTTTACTAAATGTTTTATGGCATTTCATTAAACAGTTACATAGAAACACAGCCATAAAACAGCAGGTGCACAGTTTGATACTGTTTTCACGTGTCCTCACTGCTAATAGCTTTCAGAGGGCTAATGTTTTTAGCAGTTAGCTTAGTGTTGCAACTTGGCATTTTTACCTTATTAAAATCTAACAAATGACCAGTAATTTGGATTTAAAAGGCATAAAAAGTTAGTTACAAGTAGATCCTGGCATTCGCGATAGCGTTATCATGAGCTAATGAATTAGGCAGCATAACTCACTACACACCTGAGCAAAAACAAGACAGCTGTCATTTAAAGCTTCTCCAGATCACTAAAAGGTTAACCAACTGAAATAAAACAGCTGTAGGCTTCCAGGCTTGTAAAAGGCTTTCATGACTCTGACTGAACGGCTCCAGTTTTGTTCCTATGAAATCTAAAACCGCACATCAAATTGAGCAGAAATGCTGAAAGCCACCTCTTCTCTGTTATCCCTTTAGCCCACATAATGCTAACCTATCCGACCTCACATCTGGGATTGCATGAGTTGTTAGATGCAGAACTCTGGCTCTGAGAAGCTTTGAAAAGCTTAAAAAGTGTGGATAAGTTCATAAACAAAATGTGCAGAACTTTCCCCCTATCTCAATGAGCTATAAGCACCCAGACGGCTGCGATTTTAACACAAACACTTTGCAGAGTTCTTGTGATGTTCCCGTTTTGATTTTTTGTCGCTCCACCAAACGCTGCAGGGAGATCGCTCGCTGATGGTGCAGTGGATGGACGTCAACCAGCTGAGCCAGGAGGAAAACCTGCACTCAAAGTGTCTGTGTGTGGACCGACTGCCTCTGGACCTGTGCGACTCTGAAGAACTCACCCAGCTCTTCTCTGAAACATATAAACCTGTCTTCTGCCAGGTAGGACTGTCATAATGATCTTTGCAAAGATTTTAATTTTTTCATGTTTTTTAAAAATATGTTTCCAAGCATGTCTTTTAAGATTTTTGTAATTTGCTGGAAGTCGTGTAAAGAAAATATCTTTTATTTATATATCCCAGCATCACTGCAGTTGCCTCGAAGCCTCAAAACATCATTTAAAGCTCACTTAAAAATAAATCCAGTCAAACACCACCAGGTGAGATGTGCTGATATTAAACTGTCTTTGGGCCAGCCTTACAGCATCACTTGGTTTCATGGTGAGGTGTGGCTGCCGTGGTACCACCATTTCACTTCCTCTATTTCACTTCCTCTTTTGCTCTCTTCTCGGTTTTTTCTTTTATTTGTTGATTCTGAACCAGTACATCCACTCCACCCCCTCCTGCCCATTTAAAGTTCACTCGCTGGATATCAGTCATCTACTGCATTTCCACTTTTAGCTCCACCCCTCTTCCTCACTCCCACATACAAATCAATAAACCCACATCCTGCTGGTCCCATGATGCTTTGTGGGTGTTTGGTAGCCAGCAGGCGTTGACCTAAAGATCAGATGTTTTTAAGTACAGCGTATTATGTGCTTTAGTGTTTTATGTTTTTTTTTTTGCTGCATTTCTATTTGAATACTTGAGGCCAAAAACCAGATGCTCAACTCTTCACCTTCCTGTGTAATTTTTTGCAACATATATTAAAGCGCTGGTTCACTGAGAAGTAGGGCTGAACAATTTAGGAAAATAATCTAATTGCGATTTAATTCACGATTATTTTCTTAAGGGGCTTCTCTCATTTTTCAACCAACGGAAGCTAAACAAAATCTATGTAACTTGTACTGAATGTAAACAAGTGTATGTATATTTATCTACATATCATGTCAACAAGTTTATTTGTCTACATAAACACTCACAAGTAAAGACAAAATTTTGTGTTTGAAGGTACAATGCTGTGCAGCCAGGAGCACATCCCTTGAAGGAGCATAGGTATTAGCATCAATTGTGAAAGATTTGCAGGAAAGAATTGTGTCCCATTTACTGAAGTCTTTTGTGTTTAGAGTTTTTGACGTCTTGTCCACGCAGAGCTTCCGTAGTTAAGTTACGTTCATAGCGGCTAGCCAAAACTCTGTGGAGTAAAAGTCTCTTACAGTTTTCTAGCTTTACTAAAATATCTGTCTGTACTTATTTGATTGATGGCAGTTTTTAGTTTTTCATTAGACTCTAAGTGTAATAATTTGGCACGTTCCTAATTCGTAATTTGTAAGAATCGTGATATTAGCATTAGCGTCTATGGGATTTTCAATGTATATTAGCATTGTGCTAACCATTCGCTGCCAGTCAAATCGCAGCCTTTGCGATTAGAAAATCTCCTTTTGTCACATCGCAATTGCATTGCATGTGCATTTAATTGTTCAGCCCTACTGAGAAGCCATTTTTTACTTAATTATTTTAGAAAATGACCAGCCACTCTGAGATGTTCATGCAGGCATGAAAATAGTCTCCTACACATGATTCAGTTGGGGGGCTTAACCACCAAATGGTTCCAGAGCACGGCTGTGTCTGCAGCTCATCACTCCCCCAGATATTGGGTCAAATGTGGACAACAAGTTTCACACACCAGTGTGACAACTAATTGAGCTTTAGCTTTTTGCACTGTCACTCAACATTCATGGACTTGCCCATGTTCGCTCACAACGTGGAAGGTTGTTGTTGGTTTATCTTCCAGGAAACAGTAGAGAACATCTTGACTGGTGGAAGCTAACAGTTAGCATTAGCAATGCCCCCACACAGCAGAACTCCTCTAGTCTTCTGCTATTAGTGGAGATAAAACATCATTGATGCAAAGCAAATCAGAGTCAGTGGCAGAGTCGTGTTGCTGTTTGCCAAGCAAAGGTGAGATGTCCAAATATCATTAAGACTCCAAATTAACTCCAAGTCATCTAAAGCTACTTTCTCCTCCAGCACCGTCCGCAAACAGGTGCACCGGAGCTTTTTTTTTTGCCTAAGAAAAAAGGCATTCATTCCCTCTAGAGACCACATCTTTAACATGCATGTTGTTTTTTTCTCAGAGGTAAAATTTAATTAGATGTTTTATTTGCATACTTTGTTCAAACCTAAAACAATTGAATAGAGAAATGAGATATTAAGCATTTTCTCCACCTGCTGTTGGTGGTTCTGCTTCCTGCGTGCACTACTGTGGGGGAACAGTTCTCATTAGCAACATACTGGCAAATGGAACATACTTGGTATGCGTGCAGTGCGAACACCAGACACATATTTGGTTTTGGCTCACACGTAGCTGTTTTCCAGACTGTCTTTCCAAATCTTTTAAAAGAAAAATATCAAGTAGTTTCAAATTTTTCCACTTTTGTTTTACTGTTCTGGTTTGTTGGAGACATTTTGAACTGTGTGTGAACTCAGGCCATCTGTTGCTTCTGACATTCTCTCCAGTTGATCTTTATGCATGTAAATATGTCCATAATCACAACCCAGATGTCTTCCAAGAAGTGGATGGGGATTTTTGTTGGTTGGAGCTTCAGTTATGAAATCAGGAATTCATCCAAACAGTGGAGCAGCGGTTTTTAAATGGGTCCATTTTTAGTCACTAATCAGACTCGTTTTGCTTTCTCACAGCAGGAGAGCAGAAAGTGTGACTGGGTTCCTTTTCTAGAGACATTGGGTTTATTTTTATGCACGTCTTGACTAAAGAGTGGAAATGAATTGGAACACATTTCAAAGACTTACACGAAGCAGACGTTAAATCCAACATAACGGTGTTGTGAATGTCCTAATTGGTGCATGACTGATATGTGGAAAATGTTTTAGGGCTGAAAAAAGTTGGGAACGTGATCAGTTGTGCTACTGATGTCCTAGTGTAAGAAACACAGAATCTGTGGGCGTTTTGAAAGCTGCTTACATAAGGAACTCAACATAAGTGTAGTCCAAGCAGCAGTTTATGTTGTAAAGCTCAGGATAGTTTAGATTAGGGATGGGATACACGTGCTTCATCCATAAGCTATCGTCATGCTCATGGTACTTATTTGATACAGAGGTAAAGTAACACTAGTAGCAAAAATATAAATAAATCTATCCATCCATCCATTTTCTGAACCCGCTTGTCCACATAGGGTCGTGGGGGGTTGGTGCCTATCTCCAGCGGTTAATGGGCAATCAGGCGGGGTACGCCCTGGACAGAGAGCCAGTCCATCGTAGGGCAACACAGAGACACACAGGACAAACAATCACACACACACACACACACACACACACACACACACACACACACACACACACACACACACACACACACACACACCCCAAGGACAATTTAGACAGACCAAATAACCAAACAGTCATGTTTTTGGACTGTGGGAGGAAGCCGGAGTACCTGGAGAGAACCCACGCATGCACAGGGAGAACATGCAAACTCCATGCAGAAAGATCCGAGGCCGGGAAGCGAACCCAGGACCTTCTTGCTGCAAGGCAACAGCTCTAACCACTGCGGCACTGCACAGCCCTAAATAAATCTAATAAAACCAATGCATTCATTTTAAATGGAAACACCCCCACCTCAAAGTAAATTAAAAAAACATTTACTCTGCTTTATTCACTGAACCAAATAATCCCCCCCCCCCCCCCCAAATGGATTTTTCCTCTCTTATTTTTGCATTTCTAAATGTATTTTTCCTACTTATATTCAGAAAATGCATGTATGATGCATGTATGCACGTATCATGCAATGTATGATTCAACATATATGCTCTGCCAATTTGACCTACCAGTCAAATGGTTCAATGTCATTGGCAAGCAATGAAACAATTAATTAATTAATTCACTTAAATTAACCTAAATAATTCACAGCCCTCTTCTGTCTCTTCTGGTTACCCCACATCCTGATTGAAAGACTTGCCAATGTTTTTAATTTGCCCGATCAGCTTCTCTTACTGATTTTGAACTTTCTTACGGGGAGGACCCAGCGGGTGTTGGTTAATGGTCAGATTTCTCTCCAATTAATGTCTAGCACCGGATCTCCTCAGGGATGCGTTCTGTCCCCCCTGTTGTTTATCCTGTACACAGACAGCTGCAGGGTCACTCAGAACAACAGGTTCTTGGTTAAGATTTTGGACGACACTGTTTTGATGTCCTTACTTTCGGGATCTGAAATAAACCATGGTCCTGCGCTGTCAGATTTTGTAGAATGGTGTGACAGTAACTACCTGGACCTGAACATCAAAAAAACCAAGGATATGATTATTGATTTTAGATGCTCCGCACCACCCCACCTTGGCAGTAGCATCATCCACGGTGAAGTGGTGGAGGTGGTTGAGGAGTACAGATACCTTGGTTCTTGGATTGACAACAAGCTGCGGTTTGTCACAAACACGGACTCCATTTTTAAACGAGCTCAGCAGAGAATCTATCTTTTAAGGAAATTGAACTATTTTAACGTGAATAATAGGATTCTCTGCAACTTTTATAGCTGTTTTATAGAAAGCATTTTAACATTTTCATTGGTTTGTGGGTACAAGGCCTTGTCCATGAAGGACAAAAAGAAGCTGCAGAGCATTGTAAAAATCTGCTCCAAAATTATTGGCGCCAAACAAAGAGACTTACAGTCTCTTTGGGAGGAGAGGGCGCGAAAAAAGGCTAAATGTATCCTTGGTCAGCCCCTCCATGCTCTGCACTCTGAGTTCTCTCTTATGCCCTCAGGACGTCGTTATTATGTACCTTCTCGAAAAACAAACCGCTTTGCCAACTCCTTTGTTCCATCAGCTATTGAACTGCCTAACTCTGAGCTGGGAAGGGTGGCGAAATAACAGCGAAGTATCATCGGCTTTAAGCATGTGCCATTTTTGGAGGGCTGCTGCTCATCCTGTACCCTTCATTTAGGATGTGTTCGGCATGTTGGTAGTGACACACATTGTGTGATTGTGTGATTGTATAAATGGATTGTTTGCTTGGTTGTTTTTATGAGCGAGTTATTCTGTGTGGTAA